GGCCCCGCCCCCTCACCAGGCTGTGCGAGCGCCTTGCGGGCCAGGCCGTCTGCGCTCTCCTAGCGCTGCGTGCTTGTGCCCCTTTCCTGGCCAACACAGCCCCTGGCCTGCACCTTCCCTCCAGTTGGGGAGCGGACACCCTGTCCTGGTGCCAGCTATCCCACCATGCAGGGACAGCCGCAGCCAGGAAACTGCTGCTGAACGCCCCCTCGCCCCTCATCGGATTTCTCCCAAACAAACCCGCCCGATTGGTAATGCTGATTTCTCTGCTCCCCTGAAGTAGTTCTGATTGGTCCATGACACAGTCGTTTCAGAATCTGACTCCTCTTGCCACAGAACACTATTTGTCGAGTCTAATGGAGTGCCGGCAAATACACCTGTGAGGATCAGTCCTGTGTTTTTTAGAGAAGTAGACAGGAAGGTCTAGTCAGAGAGCGGCGCTTTGGAATAGGTGTAGAGAACTGTCTCTGTTTCCGATTCTATCACTGACCCACCGTGTGACCACTGTTAAATTACGTAATTTTCTTGAGCCCCTGGTTCTCCATCTGTACACAGAGAATAAGGATAGTGATTCTTACTTTTTATTTGGTCTCAAAACAAAGCATTTAATGTTATTTTACTAGGACCTTTCATTTCTAAGATCTAATGATTTTTCCCTTCATCATTTATCCCCATTCCAAATAATCCCTTTTATTTTCTCTATTCAGGCTTTTATTCCTCTTCAGCTAAGAATTCAAGAATTGCCATTTCAACTAAGAATCCATGATCAAACTATGCTTTAGCTAACTAAACACGTGAATGCATAAAATAGAATATTTAACCAAAGATTAGTTCAAACTGTTTAATAGTATTTTTTGTTTATGGATAATTTATAAGTGCAGAAGGAAGAGAACTTTCTGAATCAATGTCTAATAAACATTTAAGTTTAAATTCTTCTTGTTCTAGACTCGAGAGCTGGTTACAGGTTCATCAGATTCATTTTCTGATAGTTGTTTAATATGTAGTTAAAAATTCTCATCTAAGCCTAAAGGAAAATATTCAGATTTGTGCACGTAAATCCTTTTTAAAAATTATATTTCAGCAGTGAATATCTTTATCATTTGGAGATGTGATTGTATAAGGATAATATTTAGTCAGTACTAGAATATCTCTGAATATGCTTTGCAGTAAGCAAGCAGTTTTGTCTTTAACTTTCAAAAGCTTCCCAACATGGAGAATTATTCTGGAATAACAATTCCTGGTTAACGCCATGTGTGGATGTCCTTATTTGGGAGTAAGAGTGCCTTTTTCCAGGTTAGCTTTGTCCACTGGATTTGACAGTAGTCCAGTGGATTAAGATAATTTGGAAAAAGGCACTCATATTCAAGAATAATAGCATCTACACATGGAATGAACCAAGAATACTTAATCCACACCCTATCTTATTCCCCCCCCCCCCCCATTAGTTGTTAATATGCTTGCAAAAGAGATCCCGAATTATTGTAGCCTAGCACCAATTCTGCTAGTAAAGTTAATCATTGCTTTTTCATAAAATCATAGAACTGAAAGGGACCTTGAGAGGTCATTGAGTTCAGTCCCCTGCCCTCGTGGCAGGACCAAGCACTGTCTAGATCATCCCTGACAGGTGTCTGTCTAACCTGCTCTTAAATATCTCCAGTGATGGATATTCCACAGTCCCTCTAGCCAATTTATTCCAGTGCTTAACCACCCTGAGAAGAAGTTTTTCCTAATGTCCAACTTAAACCTCCCTTGTTGCAATTAAGTCCATTGCTTCTTGTCCTATCCTCAGAGGCCAACAAGAACAATTTTTCTCCCTCCTCCTTGTGACACCCTTTTAGATACTTGAAAACTGCTGTCCCTCTCAGTCTTCTCTTTTCTAAAAACTAAACAAGCCCACTTCTTTGTCTGCCCTCATAGCCCATGTTCTCTAGATCTTTAATCATTTTTGTTGCTCATCCCTGGACCACCTCCAATTTTTCCATATCTTCCTTGAAATGTGGTTCCCAGAATTGAACACAATACTCCAGTTGAGTCCTGATCAGCGCAGAGTAGAGTAGAATGACTTCTTGGGAGCTCACAACACTCCTGTTGATGCATCCCAGAATCATATTTGCTTTTTTTGCAACAGTGTCACACCGTTGACTCATATTTAACTTGTCCACTATGACCCTGAAATCCCTTTTAGCAGTACTCCTTCCTAAACAATTCCTTCCCATTCTGTACCTGTGAAACTGATTGTTCCTTCCTAAGTGGAGTACTTTGCATTTATCCTTATTAAACTTCATCCTATTTACCTCAGACCATTTCTCCAGTTTGTCCAGGTCATTTTGAATTTGACCCTATCCTCCAAAGCACCTGCAACCCCTCCCAACTTGGTATCATCTGCAAACTTAATAAGTGTACTCTCTGTTCCATCATACAAATCATTGATGAAGATATTGAACAGAACCAGTCCCAAAACAGACCCCTGCAAAACCCCACTTGTTATGCCCTTCCAGCATGATTGTGAATCGTTCATAACTACTCTCTGGGAATGTCTGTCCAGCCAGTTTATGCAACTACCTTATAGTAGCCCCGTCTAGGTTGTATTTCTCTAGTTCATTGATAAGAAGGTCATGCAAGACTGTGTCAAATGCCCTACTAAAGTCTAGGTATACCACATCCACTGCTTCTCCCTTATCCACAAGGCTTGATATCCTATTGAAGAAAGCTATCAGATTGGTTTGATATAATTTATTCTTTACAAATTCATGCTGGCTGTTACCTATCACCTTATCTTCCAGATGTTTGCAGCTAGATTCCTTAATTACTTACTCCATTATCTTCCTTAGCACTGAAGTTAAACACTCTGGACTGTAGTTTTCTGGGTTGTTCTCATTTCCCTTTTTATAAATGGGCACTATATTTGCCCTTTTCCATTCTTCTAGAATCTCTCTTGACTTCTGTGATGTTTCAAAGGTGATAGCTAAAGGCTCCGATACCTCCTCTATCAGCTCCTTGAGTGTTATAGAATACATTTCATAAGGCCCTGGTGACTTGTGGACATCTAAGTTTTCTAAGTAATTTTTAACTTCTAAACCTACTCCGTTTCCACTAGCATTCTCTATGTTAGGCATAATTTCTGAGTGCTCTAAAATCAACATTCTTACTCTGTCTCTATAATTGCATTGTGTCATGGGGGTCCTGATAGTTAGGGCTCGACAAATAATACAATCTGCTCACCCGTGGCGAGAAGATTGCAACCCGGAAGAGCCGAGTTCGGGCGATCTGCGCATGCGCAGAACGATCTGCGCCGGACAGCGCAGCTGGCAAGCGGGGCTCGCCGTCGCCGTGGTTTGGCGAGCCCTGCTGATAGTATTCGTGCTCCAATTTTGTTTGAGTAGGGAGTTCATGAGCTATAGCCGTGGTCACCAACCAGTAGATCGCAATCTACTGGTAGATCTCAGGGGCTCCAAGAGTAGCTCTTGAGCCCTCTCTGAACTGCACACCTGCACAGTACATTTACATTAGATTTCCTCATGTAATGTAGGCAGGGCTTCAAGGAAGGGGCGGGGCAGTAGTTCTTCACCTGTTCTGAGACTTAAAAAGTGATCTTGGGTGTAAAAAGGTTGGAGACCACTGAGCTATAGCCTTCTGCCCAACTGATCTCAGTTCAGCATTTTTTCATCTTGTGTATGGCACCCACTGCCTCTTTGGTGAAGCAATCCTGAAAAAAAGGTATTAATCTTGGATTTTTGGCTCTGGAGGTTGGCAAAGTGCAGAACTAAAAAAACTGAAACGTGTGTTTTCAGCAAGACTAAATCTCTATTGAAGTAAGAGGATTTTTAGGCAAGCTATTGCCACAGTAACTAAATGGCTCATGAAG